GGGCACAGGTGGGGTCTACGGGGCAGGTGAGGGCCCTACCCTGGCAGAGAGATTTCACTCAGGAGAGCAGGGAGAAGAATGAGCAGAACAGGCATTAAGAACAGTGATTACAAGTGAGGGCAATAAGCAAGCAGGCATTTAGAGAAGAATTGTACTGTGTGTGGGAAAGGGTCTTTGCCAAGAGTTACTCAGTATTTGGTGTCCTATTTGTGTTTCTAAACTTCATTGTTCATAAGCACAGGCAATCAAAATGGTTTTTCCTAAGGAATTTCTGCAGCAGGAATGATTCAGATAGTGGTGGGACTGAAAGTTTTGTTACTATTTTACACAATAGGAATTTGTCATTCATGAAGCTTTGGAAGACCATGATAAAAATGGTGATGGATTCGTTAGTTTGGAAGAATTTCCTGGTGACTACAGGTGGGATCCAGGTAAGGAGCCTGGGGGTTGTGTGGGGAGGGGGAGGAGGACAAACAGAAGTAAAGAAGAAAAAACAAGAACTTGGCCTGATCTTGACTTGTTCTGCCAACTTCAAAACAATAGAAGCACCACTAAGGGACTCACCGTATCTGAGAACGCTGTCCTGCTGTAGGCCTGTGTCCGGGTTCAAACATGTCTTCATTTTCAGACAAATACATGTTGTTAGGAAGGAACATAGCAACATGTATTTCCTCCATCCAGAGACGGAGGAAGTAAAGGCTAATATTTTCACACAAAATCTTGTATCTTTGTATGTAGACCTCGACATGGAAATATAAAATAAACAGTGTAGATTGTGGAAAGTGACTTTTAATGGTTTGAAATTTGGAGTTTGGCCATGCAGCCTTCTCTACAAACAGCTGTCCTTTTTCACAAGTGTCGTGCAAAAGTACCCCTCACCATGAACGCCACTTTAAAATCACATGTGGCATTGCTCTGTAAGAGCACATAGGATGCTTTATGTAGTCATATGATAAACATAAAAGCACCACTCCGGTCAAATTTGGGAGAACTAGGTATCAGAACGAGTAGCAGCAGTGAACACAATCACTAGTTTGTGATGTACTGTGCTGCGGTGTAAAAACTAGGGAGCTGTTTACACCTGTGTGTCCCTTTTGAAAATTACTACGTAGTTTGTACTTTACCGCTTTTTGTTAAGTACTTCTGTTTCCTACACCATTTTTTATCTCTATTTCATGCCTACTAATTATGCTTCTTCTTCCCTGTACCTTTTCCTCCCTATTCCTCCCTCACCCTTCGCCACTGAAATTCGTCCATGTGATGTCCATTGCTCTGATTCTGTCCCTGTTCTAGTTGTTTGCTTAGTTTTTGTTTTCATTGTTTTTCTTTTTTTAGGTTCATTTATTGATAGTTGTGAATTTGCCAACATTCTATTGTTCATAGTTTTTTATCTTCTTCAATTTCTTAGATAAGTCCTTCTAACATTTCATATAAGGGCTTGGTGATGATGAACTCCTTTAACTTGATATCTGAGAAGCACTTTATTTGCCCTTCCATTCTAAATGAAAGCTTTGCTGGACAGTCATCTTGGATGTAGGTCCTTGCACTTCATGACTTAGAATACTTCTTTCCAGCCCCTTCTTTTGCCTATAAGGTCTCTTTTGAGAAATCAGCTGACAGTCTGATGGGAACTCCTTTGTAGGTGACTGTCCCCTTATCTCTTGCTGCTTCTAGAATTCTCTCCTTCATTTTAATCTTGGCTAATATAATTACGATGTGCTGTGGTGTATTCCTCCTTGGGTCCACCTTCTTTGGGACTCTCTGAGCTTCCTGGACTTCCCTGGAAGTCTATTTCCTTTGCCAGATTGGGGAAATTCTTCTTTATTGTTTGTTCAAATAAGTTTTCCACTTGTTGCTCTTCCCCCTCTGGTACCCCTATAATTTGCATGTTGGAACATTTAAAGATGTCCTGGAGGTTCCTAAGCCTCTTCTCATTTTTTTTTTAGATTCTTGTTTCTTCATTCTTTTCTGGTTGAATGTTTCTTCCTTTCTTCTGGTCCACACCATTGATTTGAGTCCCAGTTTCCTTCCCATCACTATTGGTTCCCTGTACATTTTCCTTTATTTCACTTAGTATAGCTTTCATTTTTTCATCTAATTTGAGACGAAATTCAACCAATTTTGTGAGCATCCTGATTACCAGTGTTTTGAACTGTGCATCTGATAGGTTGGCTACCTCTTCATTGCTTAGTTGTATTTTTTCTGGAGCTTTGATCTGTTGGGCTTTTTCTTTTCTTTTTTTTTTTTTTTTTTTTTTTTTTGGCCTCAGCACACCTGCTATGTGTAAGGGGCAGAGCCTTAGGTGTTCACCAGGGTGGGCAACCAATGCTGCTGGGTTGTGATGCTGTACGTGGGGAAGGGGTCCGAGAGGGAACAATGGTACTTGCTCTGCTTTCTGCTGGATTTCAGTCACTTCCCCCACTTCCCACAAGCAAATTGGGCCCTTCTGGTGCTGATTCCTGTGTGGGTGGATTTGTGTACATTCTAACACCCTGTGGGTCTCTCCAGTGACCTCTCCTGTGAGGCTGGGAGTTTCTCCCACTGCTGCCTCAACCCCCGATGGGTGTTTCCAATCAGGCATTTAAGGCTTTATTTCCCCATGCTGGTACTCCGGGTTGTGCAGTCCGTCCTGCTCCCCAGTTTCACCTGGTTTATCTGCACGTGAATGTGGGACCCCCGGTCCTCCAGCTACCACCTTGCTGTGAGCCCTCTTCACCCTGGCTGCCCAACTCCTCCCCCCTACCCATCTGGATGAATGTTTCTTCTTTAATTTCTTGGTTGTTGGACTGCCATACAATTCAATTTTCTGTTGGTTCTGTTATTTTTAAATTGTTGTTGTCCTTCTTTTGGTTGCACGAGGAGGCACAGTGTGTCTACCTACACCTCCATCTTGGCCAGAAGCTAGTTGTTTTATTTTATGATAGTGCGCTGGGAGCAGTTTTGTTATGTGTTTTGCTACACACATTTATCAGTAATCTATTGCTGGGAACAGACTGTCCCCAAATGAGCAGCTTAGAGACAATAACCATCAGTTTGTTTGTACTTCTGCCATTGGTGCCAGGCTGTGGGAGCTTCTGCCAGGCTCACCTGGGTCCCCTCACATGTTGCAGTCACCTGGGTGGAGGCTGGCTGGGCCAAGGTGGCATCACCCACACGCCGGCACTCAGGGGGCTGTTGGCTGGAACTCTGTGTGTCCCTCCCTTACATGCCAGCTGGGTTCTGACAAAGTGAGCTGCAGGGATTCTTCACTGGCTGTGAGTCCACTGTCATTTTACCCCACTCTCCCTCTTCTATCTCGAGTGATTTTCCCGTTGACTAAAAAGGAAGTAATGCTTGACCTGAGGTTTGAGGGAGGCTGAATAATTACAGGTCAGGGAGGCCTGCTGGTAAGAAACACAAACGGTGCCGAGAGGAGGAAGACTAGAACCTGGGGCATTTGAGAAAGGGCTGGACTCCAGCGTGGGTGGAGTGTGACGAGGACTGGAGTCACGGGGCGATGCTGGTCAGGGCCGGGAGGTGGTGGGCCCTCGATGCACCGAAGGCAGCGGCATTCACTGCATGTCGTCCTCCCTTCGGCCCTGGGAAAGTCTGCTTCAAACGCTTAGTGCTTGGGGCCTAACAAGCTCGTTGGGACTTTAATAAAACAATCATATGCAGGACCACAGAAGAATTAAAAGGACAGAAACAGGAGATGCAGACATAGATATCGGTACGAGACTGAAGAAAGAAAGAAACAGGTGGAGAAAGAGAAACAGACTTGCTGGGAACATGAACACATGCAGTGTCCTCGGATGGTGGCGTTTTTACAGAAAATCTCAGGAACACGTAAACACAATTGCAGCGAGCTCAGATGCAGCTATCAGGGCAACGCGTCTGTATGAAGCAGACAGACACAGACTAGACTGTTAACCACAGTGCCTTTGAAGAGGAGGGTGATTCTGAGGACGGCGGGGGTTGTGAAGGTCATATGGAGGTGACAGTGAGGCACCCAAGGACTCGCAGAGATGACAGTGCTGGGGCACCCTTCTCTTCTTACTCACAGAAGCATCTCAAGCAATCCCTGCTTTGGAGGAAATTAAGTAACCAACATGGAGACCAGCTAGAAAACCCGAATGAACAAGTCTCAGCCGAGGAAGCTCTGGTATGAACTTTGTTTTCGAGTGTTTGTGAGCAAAAATGCAGTGCCCTGGTCATCCTCTGCCTCATCTCTGTCTAACCAGAGGGAAGGAGGGGGTGCAGCAATCCTGCAACCGTTCTCACGGTCTGAGTGAGGAAGGTGAGAGTTCTGACATCCGCTGGGAAAGTGGAGAGTACAACCTGGAAAGGGAGAGCTGGACTGACTTTTTGTATAATAATACTTTTTTGTGTGACTTACTCTATTATAACAGTCACACGTGCTTATTTTTAAGAAGTACGGTGGAAAGGAGAAAACAAAAACTCCATAATCCTATTACCCAGATCGAGAACATTTTGGTGCACTTCCTGCCAGTCTTTTCGATGCACACCCAGAATGACGTGCACGGCTAAGTGTCGAGGCCACCACCATGAACAAGGCAGACGCAGCCTTTCCTTAGGGAACCAGCTTTGTGGGGCCAACAGACATTGCACAGCTTCTGCAACTGCACTGTGATCAGCACTGTGCAGCCGGCACGGCAGCAGCTGCATACTTTATTGCTTAGCATATGCAAGGCAGTACACCAACCACTTCACACATGCCTAGGTGTTCTGTCTACACTGTCTCGGTTACTCTTCACAGTTGACTTATGAGGTGGCCTACTGCTGTGACAGCCCTCACACATATCACAGCAAAGAAACAAATGCAGAGAAGTGAGGTACCCTGACCCAGGCAGCATGACTTGGGACCACCCTCAGATGTGCCTGTGTGCAGACCCTCTTCGTGGCCACCAGATCAGCTGTAGAACATGTGATGGTTGCTCTCTTCTTCCCTTGCTCAGTCTGATCACTGCTGGGGCTCAGAGATGTTAAGCTGTTCCCGTATGATGGACAACACGGAGCTGAGGACCAATGGACCCTCACTGTTAAAGGTGGTGCAGCTGGGGAGACTGAGGCTGACCAGGCACCTCCTGGAAGGGGGGCTTATGTCAACGAGAGCAATGACAAAAGCGAAACAGCCCTCATGGCAGCATGCATCACCAAACATGCGGACCAGCAAAGCACCAGCAAGTCCAAGATGGGGAGTACCTGCTGGACCATAGGACAAGTCTGGCAGGCCTGCTCTCATCCATGAGTGCCTCAGGAGAGCTGGGGGCGAAGTGGTCTCCTTGCTGCTGGAGAACAGAGCAGACCCCAGCCTCGAGGACTGCACTGGGCCTCTGCTCTGGTTTCTGCAATCAGTGCTGATGATGAGGATGCGTCCAGACATCTCACTGATGCCTGCAAAGCCAAAGGGAAGGAGATCAGACAAATCGTCCTCAGGCACTAAAACCCCCAAACAGTATCTTAACGCCCCTCCTTCACCTACAGTGGAAGGTGGACAGTCACTCTCAGATACAGAACTGATGTCTCCAGGCCTGGGCTCCCCACCCCGCGAGAAGGAAAGTAACTTCTTCAGCCTCCAAGCAGGGCATCCAAGTGTTTACGACACCTCCAAGGCCGTCAGTGAGCCCGAGTCACCTGCCAGGAACATCGGGAACCTGAAAAGGGCCCGCATGTCCCAACTGAAGAGGCTGCAGTCTGAACCCTGGGGGAGCCTGGTCATGCCGTTGGTGCAGGCAGGAGACGGGTGGTGCCAGCACAGACGCCAAGGTCAGAGAGAGCATCAATAACGTGGCCTTCCCCAAGAGGTGGCCCCTCTCCAGAACCAGCAGTATTGACAGCAAAGACCCCAGTCCCTTCCCCACAGGTACAGAGCAGGTTCGGAAGATCCCAGCCTCTGCGGCAGTGGCATCCGGGGGGCAGCCTATGAGAAAGGTCAGGCGTCCCACCTGCGTCTGGCCAGGAGAGAAACTCTCCCTGTTGACCAAGAGAACACATCTCCGGGCACAACACCGCCTCCGTCGACCACCGCTGCCAATTATAGGTGGAAGTACGCCAAGAACAGCGGGGCCACAGGGATGTGTGTGTCTGGCTGGCTAGCGAGGCTCTCCCACTAAGTTGAAGGCAACTCAAGTTGTGCTTTAGTGAGATGACTGATCCACACACCACTGAGCCCTTAGCATTCCGGGCCAGCACAGAAACATGAGCAGTGACAGCTTTGCATACTTCTCAGGGAGGGAAGACAAGTGCAGAAGGCAAGGCAACGCCAGGGTTCATGAACCTGGTTTGGTGCAGACAGTCCGCACATTCCTCAGGGCCACCTAGTCATTCATGTTCTCACTGCATGGGCATGGTTACAGCCAAGAAAGCGACTCCCCAGTGCAGTAAAGGGAGAGCCGTGCAGACAACCAATGTTCTCAGCAGCTCATTAAACACTCACTCACACACACACACACTCTACATCTAAGTACTTTCCCAACTGCAGTGAGTGCCAGTCAAACCTAGCCTCTGCTGGTAGCATCTCACTGTGGGGACAGCATGAGACCACGGAGAGTTTTTCCGAGCCTCTAACTAGGATTTAGAAGCCTCATTTGTCTGATGTGGTGGATGTGGTACATTCACAGAAATCAGCTCAGGGAAAACACTGAACATGGTGAGTGCCAATACAGAACAGCTGGCTAGTGCAAAAACGTGTCTGCACCTCATTTCATCACCACCTGCTGCCACGTTGGCCAAACCACACGGACCTGATCCAGCACAGTCACCATGACACTGTGTCACGTTTGAACGTAAGGAGGCGTTTTGGTCCCTGTTGGCAAACTTCACAAGAAGGCTTTTTAAAAACGTATTTTAGACTCCAGCATGCTTTCTAAATCAGAGATTAGTTTATTTTTGGATTTCTAGAGTCACTACAGAAGGTAGCTGCAAACTATAGTTCCAGTAATTGATGGATTATTAACTGGAACTATAGCTGCAAACTATAGTTCCAGTTATTGATGGAACATTTATCAAAATATAGAATGTGAGTCTGAAATTTAAAGTCTGGAACTTCTGTTTAATTTCTAGATATCCCAAAGTCCCCTTTTGCTTGCTCGTTTAAATCCATTGCTGATTCTCTTAGTGTTTCACCAAGTAAATGGTGCTCTGCAAAGGGCTGGCTGTGTCTGACCTCCTCTGTGAGTGCCAGCTACTCACGACTATCATGCGTGAATGGAACTGGTGATATCCCAGTCTCTGGCTGACGCATGCTCAAAGACACACATCCACATGGTGGAACTACTTAGATTTCCACTATGTCAATAAAAGATACATTATAACCCTTCACTAGTTATTTCCCATTTTTCTTAGTGAAATCTGAATTATAAAAGTTACCTTTTCCTTAAGATGGGATTGACATGACTGCCTTGTAACCACCTCAGCAAACACCCAATATTTTATGCACACCTAATTAAAAAATTAATTTTAAATTGCACAAGTATTATAGTTTCTCTCCTGGATTTTTTTAAGGCAAAACATGAGCCCTGGTTGGTATAGCTCAGTGGATTGAGCACTGGCCTATGAACCAAAGGGTGACCAGTTTGATTCGCAGTCAGGGCACACGCCTGGGTTGTGGGCCAGGTCCCCAGTGGGAGCCACCTAAGAGGCAACCACACATTGCTGTTTCTCTCCCTTTCTTTCTCCCTTCCTTCCCCTCTCTCTAAAAATAAACAAACAAAAAGACAAAGAATTAGAAGGAGCAGCGCTGCTATGAGGGTGTTTCTCTGCTCTGCTCTTGCTGCCAGGGTTTCCCCAGGGCTCCGCCATCTGCTACTGGCAGGGATTACTGGATGTCTTTCCTTGGGCCTTATTTCGGTGTCAGTACAAGCTGATTTCTCTGGGGTTTTACTCAAGGGGAGAGCAGTAAGTACTGAGTGAACTAACTGGAACATCATTCATGTCTCTTAAATTGTAGCGTTCTGTGATTCAACTTTCACCCAAACTCTCTGATTCCCTATACTGTTCCAAACCTTACCCACCGGTTCTCCCCTAAACGCTTGAAAAAAATTATGTCAGCAGAAAGAAAAGGGGACTTTTTCAGCCTGTCTTTCCCCCACTTCCATCTTCAGGGAAGGGAAGCCAATCCTGTTTCCAAATTCTTTGAAGAGAGATTATAAGGGACCCTCCAGAGAAAGAGAACATGGTGGTGGAAAGGGAGAAGTGATTAGGGACAAGGCCAAAGTGGCTCATCTTGAGGGAGGGAGTGCATCCCCAGGGTGGATAAAAGGCTTAGAAGTTTCCTGTCCTTTGAGTGGAGCCTGTTCCTTATAGAGCAAAACCTTGGAGGGAGTGGCTGTGTGGCGCACTGTGGGAGGCTGGGCCAGGGTCAAGCTTGGCAGAAAGGCGTCTGAGCCACCTGCAGCGTGGACAGTGGATACATCAGCAAGGTGACTGGTGACTCTGAGGACCAAAGGGCTCCCTGAACCAGAGCGCTGTGCACTGATTCAGAGCTTCACAGAACCACTGGGGAGAGCCTACCAGGACCGAGATGGACTTTCAACTTTAATTTGATTTAGAAAAGTGAAAAAATGGGACCTTTCTTACCTCCAAAGGAAATGGAGTGAAAAATCCAGAGCCTTCCGTGGTTGGAAGCTACAGATCGGCGTGCCCAAGGGGCAGGAAGGCGGCCCTGGCAGCACCTGCGAACAGAGGAGCATTTTTACGGTTGTGACGGTGCCCCGGGGGAGGATGCGATGGTCCTCACAGAGAGCCCCAGTACAAGGTGGGGCTGTGGTTCCCTCCCAGCAGCTGCCAGTGGAGGTGGGTGGGTCTTTAGCAACCACTGAGTTAAAACCTGGCGCAGCTGCCTGGAGAAAAAGTTGGTCTTGTAAGGGGCGGGGGCTGGAAGAAGAAGATCGGAGGTGATGCGGAGCCGCAGCGGGTCAAAAGCCGGGACTGCGCGGAGTCAACCCACGCGCTCGCGGCCCTGCCTCCCCAAAGCTGGTGCTGGCAGGCACGGGGGGCCTGGGGTATCAAAGGATGCGCGCTCCCGCCCCGCCTCCCGGCGCCTGCGCACTGGAGGCTCCCGGAAGCCCAGCGCTGCTCACGCCACGTCGGTCCTGGTGCAGCCGCTGGGTGTTACCTCTGAGGACCAGCCATGGGCAGCGGAGCACCGCACTCCGCTTCGTTGCTGCTGCTGTTTCTGCTGCTCCTGCTGCGGGCCGAGCGGCCGCGGGGCGCAGAGCTCACCTTCGAGCTGCCGGACAGTGCCAAGCAGTGCTTCCACGAGGACGTGGAGCAGGGCGTCAGGTTCTCCCTGGACTACCAGGTGGGGTCTCGCCCCGCCCCTTCCAGTGTCGCCTGGCACTTGGGGGTTCCCTGGATGAGGATGCTTGAGCGGGCCCAGCACCCCTGGGAGCTGGCCAGGATGAATCCTGCAGGCCCGAGGACTCTTAAGTCGTGCCACCTCTGGTTGGCTGGATGCGGGTTCTGACCCAAGTATCTTGGATCTCTGTCCCCATGTGTACTGAAAATGGCAGTGAGAGGAAGTGGCTTTGTGGTTTGATTTTCTTTTTCTTCCCGCCTTTAAAGTTGTTGCTGCGGCGAGCACAGAAGGGATGAGAATGGGCACTTTGGACAAGAGGTCTCAGAGCGCAGCTTGGAGCCCTGGCAGGATTTACAGGGAGCCGCACTGTGGCAGGAGGATGCAAGGAGGCTGCCATATGGCTCAGTGAAGCTCCCTGCGCCTACATCTCCGGCTCTTTTGAGGGGCCTCAGGGCTCACAGTTTCGGGGAACAGGCCCTGCGCCTAAGGATTAGTGAGCAGACCTAAGCTTGGGGGGCTGAGGGGAACGTACCCAGAAAAGCGTCTGCAGCCGGACACTGCTGGCTAGCTGGCACCCCAGACATGAGGTGGCACCAGCAGCCATGGGGGCCGGCCATGGTGAGCCCTCTGTGGCTAGGGCCCTCTGTGGCTAGGGGGCCGGCCGATGTTGGGCCCTTGTGCCTGTGTGGTGGTCTCTTTGAGTCCCTAATTCACCCACTTTCACAGCTCTGTGGACAGTGCACATACTGCACCTGGTTAATAGGGGGCAGCCTAGGTGCAGTCAGGAACAGTGGTCATTCTGAGGCTGGAGAGGCCTGAGAGGCCATCTGGCCACTCCTAGATGAGGGATCCCTGTGAAGGGGAGTGCAGCGTGGGTTTATACACCTCCAGCAGCAGGAAGCTTAGTGCTGATAAAGCAGATTCTTCCATCCAGATGGAAATTCTAAAGTTCTGAAGCAGGTGGAGGCAGTTTATGGTGTCCTTTGAGGGGTCTTGGATATAGCCACTGACCACCAGTGTGGGGTCTTAACTTTCTTACATTGGCAAAGTGAGAAGAATGATCCCCAGGATTCTCTCACCTCTGACAGTTGCTGATTCTGTGAATGCTTAGTCTGTATTTGCCTCTGCATTCATTCCAGTAGGTGGTAACATTAACATCAGCTAGACCTGCTCAGCAGCCAATTTAACTGTGGACCTCAGTTTCCTGTTCTGTAAAGTGTGAAGGATGAGGTTCACTGCCCTCCTGCCAAACAAAACCTCAGGGGTCAGGCAGGCGGAGACTCAGATCCTAGCCTTGCCCTTTTTAAGCAGGGCCGTGGCCAGCTTACTGACGTTCCTCAGCCTCAGTGTCGTTCTCCATGACGTAGGGGTGTCGCAGCAGCTGCTTTAGAAGGCTGTGAAGTGTAATGAACTGAAATGTTTCTGCAGCCGGGTCACCATGCCCAGCTGGCATTTAGTGCAGATGCTCTCTGGTAACAGCGGGCTGCGGGTGTCTCTGTGTTGTCAGGTCATCAGTGGAGGCCACTACGACGTTGACTGCTACGTGCAGGATCCCCTGGGAAACACCATCTACAGGGAGACCAAGAAGCAGTATGACAGCTTCATACACCAGGCTGAAGTCAAGGGCGTGTATCAGTTTTGCTTCAGTAATGAATTTTCCACCTTCTCTCACAAGACCGTCTATTTTGACTTTCAAGTGGGCAACGAGCCCCCCATTCTCCCGGAAATGGGGCACAGGGTCACAGCTCTCACCCAGGTGAGTGGACACAGTGTCAGTCCTAGCAGAACCCCTCGGGCTGCCCCTCATCTCCTGTCCCTGTCTTGGCTAGTGAGCAGAGTCACCACCCACCCAGCTCCCAGTCCATGGTCTGTTGGCTTTGCCCACCTTTTCACACCCAGTCCGAGAGAACGCTGTGCTCTCCTGGTCTGCCCCTCCACTCTCTGACTGGCTCCCTGCTGGGCTTCCCACTGGTGTCCTCGAGTTCCCATTCGGTCCTCCTCACAGCACCACCTTCTGAGTGCCCACAGCCAGAGCTAATCTGATATGTCTGTACCGGGAATACCAGAGTATACTCTTCATGGTGTGTCAGTTAGGGTGACATGTGAACCCCAAATATCAATGGCTGAACACGGTGGTTTTTTCTCACTTAGTATTTGGGGGAGTGGGGTTGGGGGTACAGAGCTTTGCTCCACAGAATGGCTCAGGAGTCTAGGCTCTCTCTCCTGTTCTCGTTCTGCTGCCCCTTAGGGCTTCTGAGCCCCCTCTGCCTCTGGCTACCAACAAAGGGAGCTGACCAGAAAGCTGCACCTGCCTCTTCAAAGCCCCAGCCCAGAAGCAGTCACTCAGATCTGTGGTTGGGAAAGGGCCCTGTGGCCTATCTTGGAGAAAGAAGGGTGGGCAGTACAGTCCCAGCTGGGCTGTCAACTCCTGGGAACAACTGCACACTTGGAAAGATGGTGGACACTTTCGGGGACCAGATGGTCATCTCTGCCACCCGTGGCTGTCCAGGCTAACTAATCTGACCTGGCCTCCTCTGTCAGGCTTCCTTGCTGCTAGTGCAGCCCCTCCCTCCTCCCTGTGCAGGCCCTGTGCTATTCCCCTGCAGCCCTGGTACCCAGCATACAGGCATGACTTGGGGCAAGAGCTCATCAGGTAGTCAGGTGGCTGAGTGACAGGGCCCAGGGAGACCTGCGAGACAGGAATGACCATCCATGGCTGCAGCTGCCCCAGAACTAAAGCCTAATGACCTCCTGCACTGCCTTCCCTGGTGGCCACATGCTCCGTTCCCCTGGGGCATGGCTGTGGGCTCACACGTGGTCTTCTGCCTTCCCTAGGCAGGTGGGTCCATTGCAGAACCACTCTCTACAGTGGCTCTCTAATTAAGTTAAGAATGTACCTCCTCATTTGCTCTGCAGCAACATTTGCAATGCTCTGTAGTCACGGCTGTGCTCAGGCGGCTCGAGGCCTGCACGGGAGGTTCCGCTGGACACCACCAGCAGAAACCCAGCCCAGGCTGTGCTGGCGTCTTTCGCAACCTGTGCCGTTGAGAGTCCTGTGTGTAACAGGAAATGGCATCCGCTCTGAAGATCTTGTAAGCACACAGGAGTGTGGGGACGACTTTCCTTGCAGGTCCCCCCAGCTGCCACGGGTGAGAGTAAACATGACAGACATGATGTGATCTGCTTGGGGAGGAGAGGTGGCCATTTTCCCAGAGGAAGGAGGCCGTGAGCAGTGGCCAGTTTCCCAGGGGGAAAGGCGTTGAGCCTCCTCCTCCAAGGGCCTTTTATTGGGTTGTAACACACAGGAATACAGGGTGGCAAGGATCAAACAGAAGATAACATTTCAGAGAAATCTGAGGGCTTAGTCCAAGTCAGAGTCTGTCAGGAAGAGAGTTTTAGGGTTTCCTGCTTGAACCCTTAACATATGAACTCTTAGCAGAGCAGATTTCACAGGTTTATCAGGAAGTCTTTGATGCCAGATTTTCCCCCAGGGCACTCTCTAGCAAGGCAAGGAGCTGCACCTCTCCCCATCAGGTATTCAGGCTTAAGGGGATTAGAGCCAGGAAGCGCTTCTCCCAGAGAACATGGGGGCTCGGGCTATGTCAAAGCCAGGGGCCTAGGGGCGGCGAGAGTTCATTGCTCTTTGTTGCAGCCCCCCCCAGTCCTTCCATGATGGCCTCCCAAGTGGTTGTGTCTGGCCTAGGTTGCCCCTCCTTTGAGGGGATCTTACCCTTCCAAAACATGCTTTGGGGGCAGGGAGAGGGAACTGAGGCAGCATTTGCTACCAGAGACAAGCTTTGTCTCCTGTGGCTGGAATTCCAGAGTTTGTTGCTCACTGACCCTTAAGCCACAGGGGGTGTAGAGTTGCAATTCCTAGAACCAGGCAGAGCGGTCCACAACACAGGAGCAGTGCAGGAAGGGCTTTCCTCTGTAACTAGTGGAAAACCAGTTTGTGGGAGAAAGGCTAACTGGATGAATTCAGTAGAGAAACTTTCCTGGAGGCTCAGAATGAGTTCGAGTTTGTTGCAGGTGTGATTTGCACTTCCTCCTGCGCAGCCTCAAAATGTTTCTACTTCTGTCCTCTGACTTCCGGCCTTGAACAGAGACCCCCAGTGTCTGCCCTTGCCCGCCTTTGGGGGGCACCAAGTCTGCACACAGTGCCGGGGGTCGGGGTACAGGTTTGCAAGGTGCTGTCCTTGCCGTCAGGGGCACCAGCCAGAGTCTGCACCTGCAATCACTTGGCCACAGGACGCTGTGGTCAGAAAGCTGTGACATAAGGCTAAGGGGTCTCAGGGGAGAAAGCCACCAACTTTTCCAGGAGAACCAGGGAACTCTTCACAGGGAACGGTTTCTCTTAAAAGTGAAAATGGGGGCAGTTGCCTAGGAGAGTGCCTGGCACGGGGGCGAGGGGGCGATGACGCCCAGTGAGGGGGTAACACAGCAGGTGCGCAGTGACTGGGCGTGACTGTCATTCCTCTACTGGTCCTGACTCTGCTCAGCTTGGCCCAGCAGCTGCTGTGTCAGCTTCCCCGAGTCCTCCAGCATGTGGTGGCCCAGGGGCCACATTTTCTGAAATCAGAATCAACACGAGAGTGAAAGAGCAGGATCCAGAGTGGGCAGGGCTACAGGCCACAGGGATTGGACTGTGGCCTGAGTTCTAGGATGACTGGCTCCTCGGAGGCGACATGGCGAGGAGAGAGCCACTTCGGGAGGCCAAGCCTGAGGCCTGGGCAGGTCTGAGTGGGGGATGAAGGTTTCTGAGAGAGGTGAGAGGCCCTGGGCTGCCTCAGCGGAGGTCAAGGGAGATTGCAGGTTTTCCAGCCCCTCCTGCTCTGAGGCCAGCGGACGTCTCCCTCCTTCGAGTTCTGACCTGGTGCCCTCGTGAGCTGAGGGCTCAAGGTCTGAGCACCAGCGGGTGGCAGAGATAGTTCGGGATGTAGGCATGGGAGTGGAGGAAGGGGACAGGTCAGCTGTCTCCAGAGACCAAGTGTCACGAGGACCAGAACCCCTTGAGGCTCCAGGATGCTGGAAACCTGCCAGGCTTGGTGGTTGCTCTCCAGGCAGGCTGGGGACCCGCTGTGTCCTCCCTGTTCCTCTTCCTCTTTCCTCCCTCCTTCAGAGGTTCTGGACCCCAGGAGAATGCCAACCAGTATTGTCCGACTCTTGGGCCAGGGCCTGGGGTCCAGGGAGTGCCCAGGTCTGAGTGCACTCGGGACACACTAAACGTGTGTGTGCATGTATGCACGTGTGTATACACGTGCACAGAGTGCCACCTCCATCCAGCCCACTCATTTCAAGGACGACCTGTGTTGTTACCAAGTCCTGTTACCGCAGCACCCTAAATCCCAGACGCGCTCTCCTTCCCCCACTTGGCAGCCTTCTCAGTTGAGGCCCTCATCTCTCCATCCCAGGGGAGATGCGGCAGCTGAGTGGTCTCCCTGCCTCCAGACGGGTTCCAGCCAGTCTCAGTATCGTAGCTGCCAGGGGACTCTCTGAAAGCGGGGTCTCATCCTGCTCTTCTGCTCACAGAGCTTCACAGCAAAGCCTTGATCCTCTGGGCTGTTCCTGTCAGCTTCTACCCCCCCCAAGTCTCCTCCCCCACAGCCCGGGCTGGACCCTGCGGGCACTCTCAGCCCAGGCTCCTGTGCTGCCTGCCCACCATTAAGGCTTAGTTGGTCACTCCTGTGTCTGCCCTCCTCCGTCTCCGGTGGCGGGATTAGTGGCTTTCCTGGGTGTCCCTCAAACTCTGTGCACCCTGTAACTGGCTCTTTTAATATGACACTGATTAATCATGTTCACCTTAACACTGTGAACTTTTGAGACCCAGGACTGTGTCTGATGCCGATGCGTCCCACAATTCCTTGGGTTTAGAACAGCGCCTGGGTGAGGAGCAGATACTTAATATGCGTCTAAGTGAGTGAGTCAGCGGAAGGAATCGGCTGGAAGACACCCAGCAGGACGTGGAATTCTTACAGTCTTACTTTCCCAGGTGTCTTTCCTGAGTCCCCAGCCCCACCTGCAGCAACTGTGGCCCTCCAGGGGTCACCAGGCTGACGTAAATAGAGAACTTGCTTCTACCTGTGTCACAGTCACGCACAGTGACAGGAGGGAGCACCGGGGAGACTTCTGGAAATGCCCTGTCTTGAGGCCAGATTCACACAAGTTTAAATACACTGTGTGACTTCTTTCTTGATTCCTCCCCAGTTTGGTCCCCTCTTCCCTCTCTGGGATGGCAGACGTGCCTCTGAGCTCTGGAAGTGTTCAATAGGAGAACATGGGAGTGCTTGAACACAGGCTCGGACTCAGAATCCTCAGTTCAGATCCAGCCCTGGCCACTTACTGTGTGACTCTGGGAAAATTACTTAACCTCTCTGAGCCTCAGTTGGGCTCATAGAGGTGAAGTAAAGCCTGTAGCGTTCTATCGATGTCACCTCGGATACTCGTGACAATACTTGCTGGGTGCCGGGCCCCACCCACCCTTCCCAGGGTTAGCAGTGTGACTGCCCCTCTCTTTCTGCTCAGATGGAGTCTGCCTGTGTGACCATTCACGAGGCCCTGAAGACAGTGATTGACTCTCAGACGCACTACAGGCTCCGGGAAGCCCAGGACCGGGCCCGCGCCGAAGACCTAAACAGCCGGGTCTCTTACTGGTCCGTCGGTGAGACGATCGCCCTGTTTGTGGTCAGTGTCAGCCAGGTGCTGCTGCTGAAAAGCTTCTTCACAGAGAAGCGGCCCACCGGCAGGGCAGTCCACTCCTAGTTGGGGTGTCCCGTGCCAGGGTTCCGACCAAGGTCATGGCCTCCCAAGGGCTGTGAGTGAGACCCCAGGTGTGGCAGACGTGCACTCACCTCTCCTTCTGCTCAGGTGCTTCACCCTCGTCCCTCAGTTGTAGAGTTCACGGAGCTCAGTGGTCGGAAGACATCTCACTACAGGACTGAATGAAGTTCACAGTCAGGATGTGGATAAGCCACTGGGGTGGGGGGCGGGCCTCCTGTGCCTTAGCTGCTGGGAGCATCTCAAGCTGCTCCCTCTGCTCCACAGCACCGGGCCACCTGGCCTGTGTCCTGTGCAGTGTGGAGAGCAGGGGGGCCTGAGTCAGGCCGTGCCTCCCTTGGAGCTCTCTGTCCTGTGGAAGTCACGCCCCCAAGGCCACTTTGCAGAAACTCCCACCCCACGGAGGGGTGGCATGGCTGTCAGCCCTGCCTGCAGGGACAGAGTGGTGACTGGGAGCCCTGGGTCGGCTGTGCGTCTTGGAGGTAACGGGACCCTGGCTAATAAAAGACTCAGCATGAGTTCTGTAGAGATGCGTGCTTGTATTGCTTTGCCTGAAGGGAGCTCGTCACCTGGTGGGGAGCGTGGCTGCGTGTCAGTCATCAGCGTCCTGGAGCAGGGTGCCGTGGACACATGTAGGGCACTGTGCGTGGACGCAGGGAGGGGGGCAGATCACCTTCTTCCTGGTTGAACAAAAGCAGTGAAATGGACAGATGGTCATTCTGTGACCTTGGACCCTGGGTCTCATAGTCAACCACCCGGTCATCATCTCATGGGAACAGCGGCCATGAGAGCAGCCTGTGGGAAGACTGAGCCAGAACCAGTGGCTGTGCTGAGAGCCATGTTCACAGCAGCCGCCACGGTGTCTTTAAAACCTCAGTCAGACCATGTTGCTCCTGGTCAGAACCCTCCCTGGCTCTGCAGGCTTCTCAGTGCTCTCGGATGGGCCCTCACTGTGGGCCTGGGGCGGCTGCCTCACCCCCACCCTGCTGCCCTCACCCACGGCACACATGTCCCCCCATCTTCTGGCTGTTCCCATCCCAGGCCAGGCCATGCTTCTGCCTGGGACTTTTGCACGTGCATTTCCTCTTCCTGTCTGCGTGACCTGTCCTGGCCCCCCATGACTCCCCTCCCCACACCGGATGCCTGCAGTCAGTGAGGTCTCCCCTAACCGCTCTGTTCAATTGGCCATGGAGAGCAATCAGAGCACATTCAGGCCATTATTTCAACAGAATCTCCCTTCCTCCAAGACATTTTCAAAGGGCTAGTTTTCTTCTTACAGGTTTGGACACAATAGTGCAGTGGTTTGTGGTGGTCAGGGCGCACTGCCTTCTGAGGAACCCGCTGCTGTGCAGAGCCAGACAGGCAGCCTTCTCGGCGAGCCAGAACCAGCCCGTCCTGTTACCACTAAGCTGTGCGAAGGTGTCTCCTTTCAGCCAGGGACCCGGCTGCCGTTTCTCACGGGTTAAGCTCTCTCCTGGGACACCAGTGGGCAGGGTTCTGAACAAAGGCAGTCTGATCTGGTATTGGTGATGTTTTATTCTCGGCTTGCATACAACACAGCACATGAAGTCTAGAAATTTAACTTCCTCATTTTCAAAGTTCCAGGTGCATCCCCTTTTGGCCATGAGGAAAGTGTTGCCAAGACTATGTCTACAGGTTGCTCCGTTCCCAGTCTGCACCAGGATTTGTGTACCTCTGATTTGTGTACCTTGTGTACCTTACACTCCCTAGTCCGACAACGTGGCTGTGCTCTTGCAGGGGCGTCACCGTCTCTGCAGAGCACGAACCAGGTACACAGATGTTAAGGCTTTACCTGCAGTGGATCTACGAGGAAGCCTGTTCCCCTGCCACATGGCTTCAGGCTAAACTGTAAGAATGCGGAGGGAAGTTTCTCAGGTTGACTCAGCTAACAGAGCTAAATGGCCAGTCCCAGGGAGAACTTGTTTTTCCAGCTCCGGGGCCAGAACAGGCTGCTGTCAGCCCCTCCCTGGCTGCCGTGGAGATGGGAATTAGAACTTTTGGGTTATGTGGAAAGCGATCACCTTCCGCTTATTGCGGCTCTCTGGACATAATACTCATACCACCCTCAGAACCAACACGTCATCGTAATTCTAGATCCCGGCGCTGCCAGGTACTCTTTTCAGTGGCTGGCTTGTGTTCTCGGCCCAGCCAAGAACTTGGAAAGATTTGACCTCATTTGCGGGTGTTTTCGCAGGAAACAGTTACCGCCCAGTGACAGGTCCCGTGCAGACTCCTGGTACCCATGCCATACGTGCCGCCACGTTTAAGAATAGCGTGAGGATCAGACCATACAAAAGTCCCCTGAACAACCATGTAACATTTGCAAATGCAGTGACTCAGGGCGGTGCTCCGGTAGTGTTTCTGGTAGAGTTTGCATGGAAGCCAGTCGAGTGAGTCCTAAGCTACCAGAACTTGGAGAATGGACGTCCCCTCAGCAGTTGTGCTGTGACCTGATTACTTAAATCAGAAGCAACCTCACGGATACATAAGACTTTAGACTCTTAATAAAAATCATAATAGTCACTGGTCTAAAACAACGATCCTGGACTGGGGCTTTGAGACACGAGTTCCCTGTCTCCCAGGTGGCTGGCGTCTGAACAAACCAGTTCCCTTTAACATCAGCACCTGCCTCCCCAGGACTGGCCTTCAAAGAGGCAGGCAGCAGGACCTGCGTTCGCTTGTAAGAATGTCCACCAACTTTGTCAGCCAAGAGAAACAAAGACATCAGAGGGGCCCAAGTGCAACAAAGAGAATTCTAAGAGGCTGACGTCACCGAGTGCCAGAGTGCCTACCTTAGGTGGGGAGCCGGCCAGGTGATCTGGGAGCAGAGGGCAGAGGTGAGCCCTATACAGGCTTGATGCAGAGCAGGAAGCAGGGGAGGTCTGTGTTGTGTGGGCTGCATAAGCCACGAGTAGGGAGCTTGGGTTTTCTCCAGGCCAAGCTGAGTGGACAAGGGGGTGACATGAGAGCCCCCCACTCCTGCTGGAGCAGCCGCAGTGGGGCAGGTGAGAGCTGGAAGTGGGGCCGGATGGGGCACACGGATGGGGCACACGGATGGTGGAGGAGGGGAAGCCCAAAGCAAGGAAGGTGCCTTTGTGATTGGCTCCAGCGAAAAAAACAAGATGAAGTCGCTGGAGGAACAGGGTCAGGGAGTGAGGAGGGGTGATGGTCCTGCAAGGAGGCCCCACCTGCCCATGGCATTTGGGCATTTATGGGGGTTGTACGAAGCCCGCACTGTGCTCCGGAGGCTGCGCTTCACTGTTGCTGAGCCCCACAGTTGGGCACTGCCCAGAGGCCCTGGGAAGCCCCGGTGTGTGAGAGGCCATCTCAGCCCGGCACCAGAGGCAGCCCGAAGCCTCTCTAAAAGCTTTCCCCAACAGGAACATTAAACCAGCCTCCAAGTGTGCGCAGCATTTCAGAACCTCGAGGAAGTACGTGTGTGAGGAAGGAGCTCCGTGAGCTGCAACATGCATTCCACATGAGGGACCGAGGCCACAGGCGAGCAAGTACCGGGTGGGGCCAGGCCCCCGCCTGTCTGCCCAGTGTCCTGGAGGAGGCTCTTGCGGTGGTCAGTATTGTGGGGGGGGGGGGGTTGTACAGAGCGCCAGTCTAGCCTTTGGGTGCTCAGCACCCCCATGAGGACAGTGCCCCAGGCAGCTGCCTCTGCCCAAAGCCCCTGACACCCTGACCCCGGCCCACTCAGTGCTGTTCCCCCACCCCCAACCCTCTCTTGCAGTTTGAGACCTGGCCGTGGCGGGCCACCAGCTGCAGCAGGACCCAGCCCTGTGGAGCGGGAGGAGGTGCTGAGGGCCCCACAGGTGCTCTGCTGGCCCCGCAGTTGCTACCATGCAGTGGGGGCGCTGCAGCCCTCGCTGGGTGGGCCGCACTTGGCCTCCACATCCATCGGCTGATATTGAAGCAGCCAAGGAGAGCCCCTCTGGGAAGTGTGGGGTCTAAACCCCAGGCTCGGCTCCCCTGCCTACAGCACCAGAGCCCAGGAAGTATACAGAAAGCATCCAGCTTGAAAGCTGCAGGGTTTCTCTCTGCCAGAGGTGGACAGCTGGCGACACAATGAGCAGACACTAGGAGCTGTTTAAAGGGCCAGTGCATAAATTTTCATACGCAGCCACTTACCCTGGGCTCCAGGAAAGCAGAGGAGGGCAGAGTGGACTAGCGACGCTTGAGGAGAGACTGGGGACAGTGGCTTTGGGGAAGAAACTGAGAGAGCAGCCACCAGGATCTTGCTTTCTCACTTGCTACAGCCCTCCTGCTCAGGCAACCACTCCCCTCAGGGGGGCATCAGCCTGAGGGAAGCAGGAGCCCGGCCCCAGGAGGGACTCCGCTGCACCCCGTGGTACTCAGCCTGACTGCCGAGGGCAGAGTGACTAGATGAACACCTGAAGGGGTCAGCCCCAGGCGGTAGATCCCGGGAAGTTTCGAACAGGCTGCCGAAGGACAGACGGGGTCACCATCTGACATCACCGTAAGTGGATCCAGAAAGAAGAAACTGTGACGAATACTAGATACTACCCAGGTGAAATCCACCGTGGTCTTCTCCGTGACCTGCAATGGTTTTTTTTTTTTTTTCCTGCAAACATCACAGTTTAACGTTCATTTGCTATCCTTCAAGTTTGTGCATATTAAGTCACTGGATTTTATAGTGTAATTTATTTCAGTTCTCATATTTTGCCCCTCCTTTCTTTTACCCCATTTTACCTTCTTCTTTCCTCTTGTTATTTTTGTTTTAAATTTGCTTTCTCACTTGCTACAATTTGGTTCCATCCTGCACTCTTACAATTTTCCCCCATTCGGCCTGGTAAAACCTTTTTTTTTTTTTGGTCAATGGTCATCTCTCATTCTTTTTGTCACTCTTACAATACTTGTGTTTTCCCTCCATCTTTAGCAGTCTTTGTTTTAGCAAACAATATATCAGAAACAGAAATTAGGGAAAAAATCCCATGTGCTATAGCAACAAGGAAAAGAAAGTACCTAGAAATAAACCTAACCAAGGATGGAAAAGACCTGTACTCAGAAAACTACATAACACTGAAGAAAGAAATTAAGACACAAACAAATGGAAGCATGTACCATGCTCATGGATTGATAGAACTGACATCATCAAGATGCCCATACTACCCAAAGCAATTTATAGATTCAATGCAATCCCTATGAAAGTACCAATGACAGATTTCACAGATACAGAACAAACATTTCAGAAATTTATATGGAACTATAAATGACCCCAAATAGCCACTGCAATTTTGAAGAAGAACAACAAAGTGGGAGGAATCACAGTACTTGATATCAGACTATACTGCAAGGCCACAGTAATCAAAACTGGTAACCAGACTGGTACTGGCATAAGAACAGATACATAAATCAATGGAACAGAATAGAGAGCCCAGAAATAAACCCAAGTCCCTATAGCCAGTTAATATTCAACAAAGGGGACAGGAGCATAAAACAGAGTGAAAATAGCCTCTTCAACAAATGGTGTGGGGAGAT